CGGGGGGAGGAAGCAGGTAGGACTTCGGGTTCAGGATCGGCTCCTGGTTCGCCTTCGGCTTCGGCTTCGGGTTCAGCTTCGGGTTCGGGTTCCCGCGCGGTCTTTGCGAAAGGTTTAAGTGTTCTTTTTGGGCGGGGGGGGGGAGCAGGTACGACTTCGGGTTCGGATGGGGTTCGTTATGCCCTAAAGCCCAAGTTCCAAGAGTGGAAATCCTCGGCTTGACTTGGTGAAATTCTTCCTGTTTCTGATCAAGTCGCTGTTTTTTGCTGGTGAAATCCTGATTGGCGCCATGTCACTCCAGTGCATCGACGTCCTCCATTTTTCCAGAAATTCCCCTGTCGCTGTCGCACGCTAGGAGCCCAAACGCCACCTCTCCATCCCCACTTGCGAGGCGGAGAGCCTCAGAGGGTTAAGTCATTGGGCTAGCGGGTAGCGTTTCGATCCACAATGGGTAGCCGGGTAGCCTCTGGTAAACTAACATAGCTATGGATATCACCTTTTTGGGGAAATCATCAATCAATGGGCAATTTTCCATAGCTATTATAATTTGGAGAGTATGTGTTTGCCATGTTTGGCATTTTTCTTAGAGGAATCTCATCGCCCAATCATATGAAATATTGAAATATGCCCCAAAACCTGGCTGGAATGGACTGGATTCTTGCGGGTATTGCATATCGGAGGCTAGGATCACTAAACCGGCCATTTTGGATATTTTGGTACCTCATAATTTCACAAACGATGTGATCTGAGCCAAAAGAAGTGGAAGTGTCCTTGTGACGAAACATCGGCCGAAGGACTCTTGGGGATTGAAGCAACAAAATTGGATGAGAAAGACGGATGGATTTCACCCGTAGGGGGGTCACCAAGCAGTGGGATTTTACCCAAAACCTGATGTGGTATGAAGCACAGAAATGGGAATATATTCCAACGAAACTCGGGACGCCAGTGGCCAAACAAAGTACAAGTGGCTCACCTTTCTGTGATCAACCCAGCTTCAACTTTTGCAGGGGTGAATAGTTTTGAGCAATATGGGGATTATCCCCAAAAAAATTGGGGAAAAGCCCCAAATCCACTGGTTTATCATCATAAATTGCCAATACAAATTGCCACAAAAATGGGGGCTTTAGCGACACACCCATATCCATGTGGCCAACCCAAACGAATTGGTAGGTGGTTGAACGAACACCAAATGATCCAAATGGGAAGTAACCATCAACCAACTCCAGAAAACATGGTGTGTCAAAAATGGATGGTTTACTTCTACAGTAAAACAACCCAAATCTGTGGCTTGGAGGGTACAGTTTGATCCACTGGATGGTCTCATGTCCGCCATGCAGAAACTGGCGCTGTTTCAAATGAAAGAAAATGAGACCTTGACAAAGTCCCAGAACAAGCAGATAAAACCCCCCGAAAAGGAAAGAAAAGTCAAATCCCACTAAAATAGTGGAGATATGTGGAGATTTTTCCTTAACCTGTTCTATCTTTTTGGGGGGTTGCTGATGTTGCTGGCGAAATCAGCCCTCACACAACCCGACTGGCATCCCCTGGCGATTTCAATCTGGTTGGTCTGGCCACGTGGATTGATCATGGCATTTTGATAAGGATGGGACATGAAAATGTAGACAGGATAAGACGGAACGAAACTGCTTAATATGGACTAATATGGACTAATATGGACTAATATGGACTAATAAGAACCTAAAGACCCTGCTTTTTTGGAATGTGGATACTTAGCAATCAAAAAGGATGTACAAATTGACATGGGAATCTCATAACCCAAGAGGAAACGGAAACACTTCGCCGGGAAGCGATGCTCAACGCCCCGCTTGGCACAGTTCGGTCCCGCCTTGAAACCCATCTCCCTCATCCCAGCACAGGCTTGCTCCACGGAAATCCTGGCATTTCGGGGGAAGTGTGAGAAATTTGAAAAAGTCAACAACCTCTTTGGGAAAAAAGAACATGTGCGTTCTTAAAAGATTGACTTGTTGCAAGTCAACCAATCCCTCCAAATTGGATGAATGGACGGTTTGCAAAAATAGTGGATTTCCGCTGAGCCAATGAAGTTTCCTCAGCTCATCCCCTGGTCAACCTGGCAAATGGGCAAATGGCATCCTTCGGCTTATCGATCATCCATAGGCCCCCATGTCTTTCTTTAGAAAATTTAAGAAAACTTAAGAAATCGTGGGCAACTAACACTTCTTACCAGTACATTGCCTGAATGGATTGTTTTAGGACAACTAAGACTTCAATAAAACACCCAGAAACATGTGTGATTGATTGTAATTGTCTGAATCTGCAGTTGGTTCCAACCCCATTTGATGGCCGTATTCTAATAGGTGAAATGATGGTTCTGAACCGGTGGATTTACAAGTAATATGGCAACGCCCCAATGACATGCCAGAAATGGGTCATATTACTCAACTTTAATAAGAGCTGGAAAATCCACCATTTATATACATGATTTCCCGGGGTTCCCTGTTGTTGTTTTTTGCCATATCTGCCACGGTCAAAGCATGATATAAAGGTTATGTTCATCGCATCGTTATTGGGAATCCTTACAATGGGACAATGGGTAATCATGTATCCCAACTATCTCCATAATATTCCCATAAAATCTGCCCATCCATCATGGTTGGTAAAACCCTCAGCGGCCGCCTCGGCTTGCTCTCAATGCGGCCACCAATCTCCGTCTCAGCGGCCGCCATGGCTTGCGCCCACTGCGCACCTGTCTGGTTGATGGTGGGATTTTCACGCACCAAGAAATGTGGATTTAGTATCAAAACGTTCAATGGATTGGTTTGAGGGAAAATCTACAGGAAACCATGGTTTTTACCGTCAAATATAGGGGTTTCCTGTAAATTTTCCCATCATCCAATTCTATGAAACGTACTTTATCAATGGGACTATGACTATGACTATATATAATGGTATAAAGACTTGGTTCTGAGTGGATTGTACAGATGGATCCAAAATGCCATAGGCACAATCCCGGATTTTCAACCAGCAAAATCATCCGATCGCCAAGTGATTAGCGATATGGATTGTTCACCACCTAACCCTGAGTGTTTTCATGTTTTTCTTTGGCACTGGGAGGCTTTTGCTGGGTAATTGCTGCCTTTGAGGCCACCCTGGCCCTAGCCGTGTTCTCCCCCTGGGTGCCACGGGTGCCACCTTCATCCTCCGAGTCCGGCTCGTGCGCCACGGGGTTGCCTCCCGATGTCTCGGCGCGACGCCGGAGGTCTGCGAGTTCGTGGAAGTTCCTCGGCTTGGGAGAAAAACCCACAGGACAGGACAAGATTTCACCCAGCCAAACATCTGCAAAACAATGCAGTAAGGAAAAAGCATCTTAATCAGAAACATGGGACATCATGGGAATGTAATCAGCAACTGTCAGCAACTGTCAGCAACTGCACCTCATGTACGTTTGGTCAACTTTTTGTGGAAACCCATGCGCCAAGCTTCTCCAAGAGATGTTTGTCGCTTCCCGCCCTCAGTTGTCATTGGGCAGTATTACAACTGGACTTATCGAACAGTACTTGGTGCCTCATCCCACTTAGTAAGTGGGTGAAACGTGGCAAAACCGCCATTGTCACTGGACAAATCCGACTTAACCTATACTTGGGGTTGTTACCCACTTACTAAGGGTTGAATTTATTCTGGGGTCACTCCCGTAAGAAAAGTGGATGACACCACCGACCCAGGAATCCAGTTCCCCTCGTATCCATCAAGACGTTACAATCATTGATGGTTGGTAATATGTGGTACCAAAGGATGCAAAAAAAATCACGTCCTACCAATCTCCATGTGTTGCTTTCTGAAGGGTTCAAGACATGTTTTTTGCATATCACCTTTGTCTTTTGCCAGCTGCTACCTGACCAAATGTTGAGTGACCTTCAACCCCAAATATTGTGGATTCATACAGTGCATATGTGATTTCAATAAATTACATTCAGTGCATGTATACATATAGAAAAAGATAGAGAGAGAGATATACATACCTTACCCCCAAAAAGAACTGGACATATATACATGTGTGTGTACATACATCATATATGTAACTAGATGTGCGTCAAAGGTTGGATTATACATCCGTAGTGGGGTCTGGTCCTCAATCATCATCAATCCATGTTCATAGTTGCAATAGCGATGAACAAATATATGGTATATACGTGTATAATATAATATAATATAATATAATATAATATAATATATATATATTATATATATTATATATTATATTATATATATTATATTATATATACTATATACATATATATTATATTATATATAACACTATATATAATACTATATATATTATAATATATTACAATAGATGTTATATATATAATATTACATTATATATATATTATATTATATATATATTATACATATTATATTATATATATATATATATTATACATATTATATTATATATACATATATATATATTGTATTATATTATATATCATATCATATCATATCATATTATATTATATTTTATTATATTATATTTTATTATATTATATATATTGTATTATATATACATTATATTATATTATACTATATTGTATTATATCATATTATATTACATTACATTATGTTATTTTATTTTATATTATATTATATTTTTATATTCTATATATTATCATATAATATATATATATACATACCCAGTGCGTTTGGATTCCCATGGCATGGGATGACCATATCCCCCCCATAGCATCCAGGTGCCCAGGCGGTGCGCTCAAGGGGGGCAGGCGGCCCAGGACCACAAAGATCGTGTTGCCCTGGTGCCAGTTGTGATTTTTGGAAAATCCAGGAGGGTCCAGAAAGCAGTTGGGAGTTCAATGGTGGATTGAACATTGAACCAAGTTTGGGATTTCAATGGCCTTAGAAATGGGGGATCACTTTTTCCTTGGTTTGTCCAGAAATCTTGATGGACCACAGCATTTCGGCATCCCTATTTTCAGACAGCTTCCCAGTTCTCGCACCATCAAGATATGGTGGTACGGTGCTAGGGCACATGCTGTTTTGTAGATTTATGAAGATACAGCTATTGAGATGACATGATTTAAAGCGATATGGGAGGCTGGATTCAAGAGCTCACTTTTACGTTAAATCCACTGAATTAAATTAGTCTGATTCTAAGTTTAAGTTGTTCCATTCCACTCTCGTGTATATATATATATGTTTTTGAAAGCCATCCTGAATGACATGAATTCAAGTGTCAATTCCTAAAGGTTGGACAAGAAGAACTCCGGGCTTTTTGTTCGTTGATCAACACCGACAGTAGTACAAGGTGGTGCCCCCCCAGTTGGTTTATAACCCCATGAACTATAGATATATAATTAATAGATACATGTATGATTAAACCTGAATTCTTGGAGTAGATGTATATCTAGTATCATTAAGCATATAAATAAATGATAATGATAATGAATGTATCGTTATTGTTTTCTAAACCAACAGTGGATAGGACCACAGCCGAGGAATAAATTCCCATCGCCTCCACTTCGAGCTGAGCAAGCCAGGCCTACGACCGCAAGGCTTGGAAACAGAATATATATGATATGTATAAATATGTAAACATATGGATATGTATATGGATATGTAATTATATGGATATGCAGATTTATATGTATCTATATATCTATATCTATACCTATGTGTATAGGTATGTGCAAATGTACAGTACATCACCTTTGGGTCCCCTTTTTGGATCGTTTTAGAGGCCCCTGCAGAAATTTCGGGATTTGGCCCGAAAGCGTATCAGGTAAGGGGCTGCCAAGTAGAAAGCGCCCACTTTGGCCGGCCTGGCTGGTGCAATCTGACGTGACTGGGACTCCATTCGGTGGCTGAAATGGGCCCATGAAAGACATCATATGTCATGTCAAAATATGTCAAACACATAGGGGAATTTGGACTCAAAACCTAGAATTCATGTTGCATTTTACAAGGTTCTTCAAGTTTCCTTTATCGACATTGCCTTTCAAGAGGGTCTACCACTGTTTCACCAATGATACTTGCCCCGCAAGAAATGGGGAAATCTCTCAATTCCCCGGTTTTTGTGAGGGAATAGGAGTTTGTCGCCCTGAAGATGCTCTGTAGGACATCCACCATCCAAACAGAAATCCACAGATGTCGTCCTCAAAACTTGCGATCGTCCCCAAAACAAATATCACGCATCCAGCCCAAAACTAGTTCATCTTCTTCGTGTTTTCAATTTTAGGTGAAACAGCCAACAGATGCCAACGGTCTTCCCACCTCTTTCGGGTGGAATTCAGATTCCACCACTCCTCGGAAACCTGTCACGTCCACGAAGTTTCCGGAATTGAATTGGAATGATTGGATGTTCAAATTTGTATTGCAAAAACCTTCAGGTGTTCTTGGCTTGTGTTTGTGGGGCAAAAAATGTCAACACTGACAATGATAACATATGATAATGAGAATACATCATGACAACATATGACAACAATGAGTTTCACTCGTTAGTCCATGGGAAAAAAAGCGACATCTTCCTCATCAACTCAGCAAATCCAACTGGTGACGGCCGCGCCGAAGCGAAGAATCGAAATCATCGAATCCGTAGGACCACGTAACTTGTTGAAATCTCGGTCAATCTATATATATAATATTCACATATCTTCAAATATCTTGACATATCTTGACATATCTTGACTGTTCTCCTCTCGCTGCTCTCTGTTCTCAATTTTGGCGCCCCAAAACTGATTCCCAAGAGGTCCTGTCTGGCCAACTGGGGTGTTTCACCGAAACGAAGACAACTCATCTCGAGTACAAATGCAATAGATTCAATAGGTGCCGTAGCAACATCAGTGGTTTTGCCAAGTCGATTCTAAGTGAAACCGGTGATTCGTCCAAGTTCATTGGCCTCCAGGACCACCCAAAATGGTCCCTTCCCCGAGGATTTTTTGCCCGCTTCCGAAATGCGCCACACTTTCCACAGGGGGAACAAGTCGAAAGTCGAACTGCACTTGGGGCAATTTTTAGGCTGCAGATCCACCGGAAATCACAACCCAGCATGTTGGACCTGTAAAGCCAAGCCGTACCGTATTACTTTTACTTCGCCTAGTTTCCCAGGTATCAACCATCAATCATGGTACCAGTGGTCATTCCGAAATTCACAAGGGTTTTTTTCTCTCAGAAGTCTGCTCCCTGCAGCTACAAAACGTGTTTTCGGCCTCCCTTCCCGATGAATAGGTAGTTGGGCCCAGGAACCTGCCAAATCGGTCCATTTTGGGAACTAAACCATCCATTTGTTGGCAGCTGATCTTTTTTGACCCATCTACCGTCATCTACCCCAATTCTTGCTAGGTATCTTCCGATGTTTGCTGCTTTTTTCAGGTGCATCCAAATTGTTTCGTCATGAAATCCTCATGTTGAATCATTTTACTTGAGGGTGTCACTCCAAAGAAGACGGCCGTGGATCTGAACGCCCCAGGACGGACGCAGCCGGTCCGTGTGAACTACTATCCATGCGGCTGTTGTCCCTCGCGTGGCCCAGTCACAGGGATTTCTCAAGTCATTCAGCAGCTCCGATCATGGCTTCATATCAGAGCCGATGGAATCATTGAGATGATTTACGGTAGGGGAAAATCCACAAAAAATGGTCCATCTGTAGATGTTCGATTAGAGCAATTCCAGATGGCTCTGCAACGCTTCCAAGCCATTGGAAGAAGATATTACTTTTTAGTCATTGGATTGGAAGCAAATCATCTTCTTCCAATGACTTGCACAACAGATTGAAACTAACTCTCCGCTTGGCCATGTTTTCTGCACATCCTTGAGGGGCCATTGGTCACCGCGACAGGGCGCGTTTCCACCGGTGAGACAAGTTGCACGGATGTAGGGCAACGAGTGTGAACGGGAAAGGCAGTATGGTACAAGTACAAGGTAGAGTTTTCCAAATGTATGATATAGATGAAGCTTATAATTTATAGCTTGTAACTTATGACCCTCAACTAAAGTGGCAACTCTCCATCAGATTGTGATATATGTACTTCTGGATAATTTGTTGAAAATACTATGTCCAATCGGATATGACAACTATCAAACATGGGAATATGAGCCACTTGTGAGGCCTGTTGATTGAAAATGATCGATAAAGATAGGGATGTAAACCAACAAATGATCATGGATTGATATCTAGGCTAGTGAATGCCTGGTGCGCAGATGTCGGAACTGATGGAATCGATTAAACTTCAATCAACCAACTATGACTGTGAGGAGTTCTCACGAAGTCTGGAGGTTCTTCGGGAACATCCAGATGGACAGTTTCCACCCATTGACTGGAAATTTACAAGAAGTTACAAGGGCAAAGCAAAAAGTTACACCATACCCTCAATTGTTACTGGTATCACCAGCAATTAACCAGTTAGGTTATACCATCAGAAAGTTACAATATTATTACCCCAATTCTTCTGATGGTTTCAGTATACGGGACAAGGGTTGCAGACACGGCCTTCTGATTCTGTGATCCAAAATCTTGTTGGGTCCTGGCTAGAATCTTCATCATCTATCCTGGTCAGAAACAGAATCATGTTTTTATATGTTTTATATGCTTTATTATGTTTTATTTCTACGATGAAGTTTGATACACGCTGATACATATCCTCATATCTCTGGCAGCTTTCCCTCACCCCTGACTGACAGTCATGGTCACCCTCTGAAAGGACACATGCGTGCATGTGACGCACGTCCGCGTCGATTCCGACGTCTTGTCTTGGGAAAAACATACATGGTCCCTGAAGTAAATCAACTGAAAGGCTGCAAAGGAAAAGGGGTGTGTTTCTTTAAGCTGGAAATGCCCATTGGTTTTTAAAGAGAAATTCCAAGAAGTTCCAAGACGTCCAGAATTGCCAGATGGTCCAAGGACTGCGCAGATTGCAAAAGGTGACATGCAATCTGCCATCTAGGGATCAATTTCAACGTCAGAAAATGAATCCTAAAATTTGGTTGGATTATCTGAATTCAACCAGCAATTGTTGAGGATTGTGTTCGTTATTCAACCCAATGTCTTTGGACCATGCAGCGCCACCGTACTACGACCGCGCCCGTTGCGCGGTGTAGAGTTCCTGCGTATCTGCACCGGCAGGAAGGATTGATCAAGGTCACAAGGAACCAATCCTTCCTGGGTTGATATGTATCTACCCTCTGGTAAACTAACATAGCTATGGAAAATGGCCCATTTATAGATGGTTTACCTATTAAAAATGGTGATTTTCTATAGCCATGTTAGTTTACCAGAGGGTAATACATTCTAATACATAGATATACACAGCATACATGTACTTTTTTTGGTTTGAGGCCGGTGGGTTGTTCCCCTAGCAACAATCCATGAATGATGGGGTTTGGTCCAGGGCCATCCCCAACAGGCTCATGAGCTTGTTGAAAACATCCCATTCGCAGCGTTCTTTGACATCTCCGAGTTCGGGATTCCCATGGGTCCCATGGGTTATGAGAATGGCCCAAATCATCAACCAACCAGCATTTATCAACTATACCATATGTTTGATGGTGAACTGAATAAACCTGGCAATGGAAAATGTCATATCTATTGAAGATTTTCCCAGCTGGAAACTCCATTTGTAGGGGATTTCCCATTGCTATGTTGGATTACCAAAGGGTATATAGGCCTAAATATGGCAACCATCACATCCCACAACTCCCACAACTCGTCTCGCCTTAGACTGCGGGTGCTCCACCTCCGGTTTTGTCGCTACTGTTTACTCAGTGGGAAGACGTACATCTAGTTACAGTTTGCTTGAGAGACATGTAAAATTACGACTCGTTTCTTGGCTTTGAGATTGTTTTTTCTATGGTTTTTCTGATTGGCGGAGTGGTGGAAGTTCCGATTTGGGGTGCTCCAAGGTGCTTGACTTGTGGCTTGACAATGTGTGACCTTTGATGTGTAGAGAAAGCCCATGTTGATGAACTTTGGAACCTCCCACTTCAGGGTTTGTCCACCAACACATGTCCAAGAAACCAACAAATTTGATCACTAGATCTGCTGCATCATGATATATATATATATGTATATATATACATATATATATATACATATATATATACATATATATATATATACATATATATATACATATATATATATACATATATATATATACATATGTGTATATATATATATGTACGTATATATATATACATAGAGATATTGTGTAGTAGAATATGATTATATATATATTATAGAGAGTAATATTATACTGATTATATCTATTGCATTGAATTGCATTACATTATACTATACTATACGATACGATACGAATAGTGTCCTATACTATACTAGTTTACATTATATTTTATCATATTGTGTTATAATATTCTATAGTATTGTATTATATATAATTATATATGTGTATGTACATATCATATCATAAATCATAATATACTGCTGTATACTACATCATATCACATAATTTAATGCCGTAGTATCAGTGAGGTGTAGTAAATTACATAGATATAATATATATATATGATACAGATATAGGATAGATTTGTCCAATTCTTTAAACGGATCCAATAAAAGTCGGTAGTTTTCAAACGTCGAGCACTCCAGCTTTCATGGCCTTTGATGGAGATGTTGGGGTTGTTCTTGGCCAGGATTTCTCGTCCTTTGCCCTTGTGATCGAAGTCACAATTGTGGTCCTGCGCTGCTGGTTGAACCGCCGGATTCACCCCGTGTCGCCTGCACCCCGTGTATCCGTGGGAGTTTGTATGGCGGACTCTGTGGCAATCAAACATGGCAGAAAACGCACATCAACAACAACAACAACAAATGGAAAGAACGTGGTGGATTTTCGAGCACGCCAGGTTAGATGACAGTGGCAAAAGCCGACAGATTCCTCCAATTATAATTCATAATGATTCATAAAGAATTTGAACAAAGCCAAAAAAACAAAAAGCTGCCATCTTATGCTGATGAAAGTATGTAGAGAGACCTGATACAGTATATGGTTGTACCCATCCTGAAACCCTCTCATGGTTTCAAGAGAATCCCCGTAGCAATTCCCTATCCACAAACCAAAAACCAGTGGGTTCCTCAAACTATGGCCATTTTCCACTCGAAAACTCACATTACTTGGGTTCCTCAGGGCTTTCTGTCCCGGGTGCCGCGCCTCCGCGTGCCGGCATTTGCCACAGAAGGTGTAGCCACAGCGGCAATCGAAGCCCAACAAACCGCACCTCGTGACATCACCATGACGAAAAAAAGATGGGAACCGAAGCTACCAAAAACAAATAGATCCTAAATTATATGTTACAGAAACAAAAGGGAAAAACATAAATCAAAAATAAAATTGTAAATCATAAACTACGGAAAGGCACCAAAATGGTGTGCACCATCGCACCTAGTCGCCCTAGTCCCATGAAACCCCAGAGTCTAAGGTCCCAACTTCTTCCCGCAGTGCCAGCACTTGGTTTTATCCTGCGTCAGACCAAAACGCCATGCAGCCACAGCTCTAATCACAAGTCGCGCAAGAGTCTTCTCCTATTTCTACTGTGCTAAAGGTATGTCACATTTTACCATAGAAATTTCATTGAAAATCCCAAAGTATATATATATATACATATGTGGACATATGTTTCTTGATGTTTCCCGTATATATTCCTTTAAATAAACTGGTTCATATGTGTTCCCATCGTCTATGTTTTCCCCCCATTCTTCGCTCAATCCACACCTTTTGCTCTTCTCGCGGAGCTGCGACATCTGCCTGTCGCGCGGGAAGTTCTCACAGCGAAGGTGGTCAGTTCACCCATGGAATCCCCTGGTTTTCATATGGTTTTTCACCGCAAGTAGCTTGCTTCATCTGATTTCTAAGTGGGGTAGGATTCGTCCAGTTTAACTGTGGGTTGACCCACCAAGTGGGGATTTGCCGATATTTATATATCGTGTCCAACATTTTATTCACCATATTCTAACTGCAATTTGGTCCCCGGAGAAGAGTCCTGTAGACCTAGCATTCTACTACATAGACATACACATAGACATAGATGTGTATATATATATACACATGTATCGCATACGCATACACATACAAATACCGATACTTATGCATCTGCATCTACACATACACATACACTTAGACATACACATACATTTACGCATACATATGCATATGCATATACACATGTATATACATCGACATAGACATAGACACAAACACCAACATGTAAAGACACATACATACAGCATTGCGTTGCATTACATTGCGGTACACTACATTAGATGACAGATTACATTATATTACATTACATCACATACGATACGTCCATCCGTTCGTACGCTTCCTCTCGGATTGGCGTCTGAAAATCTAACCTGCCCCAGTGGTGATTTTCCATAGCATCTCAGATGATACATCAACAGAAAGTCCAAGGTTAACAACCAGGGTACACAATAGCCATAGCAGCCATAGCACATTCACAGAGTGGTTGCTGAAACAAGGATCTTCCAACGGCTTCGTCTGAAAATAGGATGCCAAAAATGTCCCATGGTCATAGCTAAGCTCTTCCCCCCCAGAGTACGGCCATAGCCCCCGCCTTGCAGATACAAAACCCCATGATACCATCATTAATCGGTTGACGCTCCGAACTCATGAAGTGGCCTCCATTGCTTCGTCAGCAGTGGTGGCAACTTTCTCCGCCTCTTCCCTCAGAAAAAAAGCGGTCTTTGGGGTGTGAGTGAGAGAATTGGGCGTCATGAAGGGACATTTCAAGTACAAACTCCCATCCCCCTATATCATCACAAACTCCCTAGGAACGGATCCACCAAGCTGGGCCTTCAGGGGCATTGACGGCGAGTGATGAATTTGGACCAGCCATGGCCAGAGTGTCATGTTTGCGTTCCGCAAACTGCAATGGCCATTGGCGTCCGGAAATTAGTTACTGGTGCTTAGTAGGGAATTTTCGGGAATGATCCACAATCACCTCTAAGAATCATTCCATTCCCCCATTCCCATCCCCTACTAAGCACCAGTAAGATTAGTGATATCCTAACAGGAAATGATGATCAACCAGTGGATTTGGAGATGCCCCAGGTGGCACAACGGGGCACCCAGGGCGCCGGACTTCTCTCGGGTAGCTTTCGCTTCATCTTCCTGCGGGAAAAGGATGGAAAAGGTACTGAAATCCCAACAGAGGTCTTGGAAGCTGGACAGCTTATGACATTTATTAGAAATGAAACTCCTGAAAGGAACTTTGGGTTCCAAACCAATTGTATCTGGAAGATGATCAGCGGAAAGCGTGATTTTTTCGGCACCGAAAAGGTGTCGTGGGGTGGTCGTCCAAACTTTTTGGGGCTGGGTTCACGACCAACTAAACACACCAGCTGGTGACTCCTATGCACCCTTTGATCACTCAAGTGGATATTCATCCCTGGGTGGTCTTGTCTAAAAACTCAATAAACTATGAATGCCGATCTTTTTGGGATGTTCATTTGATTTTTGCCGTGCCAGGGCAAGGGCAAGTTCTTGTTGGTGAAATCCCATCAGCCAAGTCAAAAACTTGTGGGCCAAGTCATTGGTTACCTGAACCATTGGGATGATGACCTGTCCATCATTTCCATCGCTTGAAGAGATTTGAGGATATTCACTCACTACTTTTTTTCCTGGAAAGTGTTCAAATTCCTTTTTGTTGATCATGAAATCCCAATCAATCTCTGTTCATCCGGGGAACCTCCAATAAACTATGGGGATTTAGCGCCTTCAATAAGGGGCTACATCCCTTACTTCTGTTCACTATTCAAAAATTGCCGTTCCCTTCAGCTGGCCTCCTTTTTCTGCTTCTCCGCATAACACTTGGAGCCTCGGTCGTGGAAGTTGGCTAAGGGAAAGTGGTAGTGCAAAAGCAGCAAATCTCAGATGAAAATCCTCCAAAAGGAATCCTACATGGATATCACGGATGATTTTCCCATTATCACATTAAATTATCCAAGTGCACCAGAAAAAAAAAAACACAAGTTTCTGCGCTGTGACTGCCTGTGACTGACACATGTTCACACGGGCCAACTAAGATCATAATCCAAACAGAATGATAGGTACCCGCCGGTAATTCAAGTAGCTATGGAAAATCACCATGCTTACAAAATCGGTAAATCATCTATAAATGGGCCATGGGCCGTGGCTTCCATAGCCTATGTTGCTTTACATCCTTGCTGTCTCTGGGATGGGTCAAGACTACTGGGGGCTCTGGGGCAATGGGAATGACTATGGTAATAAATTCCACAAGTCGGGATATGACCTATGAATACCTATGATTATACAAGCACTAGTAAGCATAACCACTTCATAGTGGAACTGCACACCCAAGTAGTGAGATTGCCCACGTTCTGTTTGTCTCAAGAACACTTGTGGCGAATGTGACCATCGTGACGTACATAGTTTTTGCACAGGTTCCCAAAAGTCTGATGCCATGTGCAGCCATAGCAACCAGCTATTTTGATGTGAAAACATGTGATATTTCCATATCATAACTGGTTTAAAACTGGTTTAAAACTTGAGAACTTAGCCACTAAATGGGGTAACTTACTGTAACTTAAAAAATAACTACGTCGTAACTACGTTGCCATCCCAGCTTTCCGTCAGCACTCGCGCCACGAAAAAATCCACTGGGCTTCCCGGGCAGTAGTTCTCCGTCCGCGCCGTGCCACAGAAGCCGCAGCCACCGCGGCAGGGCACGGGCGCAGCCTGTGATAACTAGTTCGTTGACATAACTTGCAAGGGATAAAACCATAATTAATGATGATTAATGGTGATTAATCACCATAATTAATCATCATTAATCATCATTAATCATCATTAATCATCATTAATCAACACTACAAAGTTGGTTACTGTCATACAACTTACATCTCAAACCAATGACACTAATCAATTCCTCCCTTTGGGGGGGCTTGGGGGGAGGGTAAAAACTGAAATATTTCAACAAAGGGGGGAGTTTGCAGAGGTTTATCTAAGCTAAAGTCTAGCATCCGGAGTACCTCCCCACCTGTTTTGGAAGCCCAAAACACATGTGGGTGGTATATTTCATAGGTGAAATATTTCTCGGAAATGTCTTGCCTTACCGCCCCCAAATATTCCAGGGTTATAGGGGGTTGATCTAATAACTTTGTAGTGTTCTAAGATCAGGATTCACCTTCAAAGGTTGGGACATTTTGGCCATGGAATGTCTTGCTGCCTTGCTTCACTGCGGAAAAAAAATGCCAAGAACCGATGGTCCCGTGGCATCCTTTGAGGTCTCTAAGTTGCTGAAAAACTTTTCGTGGGAGAGTTTAACATAAAGGGAAAATCCAATGAACCCCAAAAACACGATATATATAGAACAACAAAAAGCGCATATCAATCTAAGCGCATCGCTGCAATCCATCCCGGTAACTCTTAGTCATCTATAAAGCTATTGACCATTGAAAAGGCGATATAATCAGTATTTTCTAATGGGATAATATAGGATATATGATGAATAACCAACAAGACTATTTGGGTGTGTCTGAAAACGGGGATACCTCCCATTTCTGGTGCAAAAAAAAGAGCCTGACCCAGCACTGTCTAAGTTCGTCCAGGACCAAGGTCCCCTGACCGGCTCTTCCTCCTTCTTCTCCTCCTGCAGATGGGTTTTTTCTACCCTCTTTGCTGAGGGAATTCGCAACATTTCCCCCCGAAAAAAAAAAAAAAACGTCCAGATCTCACGCACCAAGGGTATCTAACCAGTAAGAATGAGAAGATCATCAAGATGCCGATATGACATGATCCAACCGCGAAAACAAGGGGATTTTTAGCCAGCAGACAGCTACATAAGACGTACAGCAAATCTTACCAACCAAAAGGGGGATTTATATTATATGATATGATGTATATATATATATTAATACATATATATATGCATTTATCTGCAATAACCCAGTGAGATTGGGGACACCTCAAAGCCAGCGCAACCTTCACGAAAAAATCCCATCAATCGATTGGCAAATCATGTGGGACATGTCATAAACCTACAGTTTGGAGATGAAATTTATCGCCCATTTATAGTAATCAGTAACATTGGGGATGGTTTATGGCATTGTCTTTACCACCTTTCCGGCTCTTGGAACTTGTCCGACTTCGAAAGCGAGAGAGCCAGGTCACCGTCTCTACACCACAAGGTCCAAAGCGCCACAATTGGCCACTGAAAAATCACCCTAGAAACCAGCATGGAACCCCTAAAAGGAATAGCTTTGGATGATGGCCCAATTCCTTGGTCTCAGCCGCCGCTCCGCCGCTACCAGAGGCACCCTTCACCTCAGCGGAAGATGTAACACAACTGGCTGCGGAAAAATGGGAATCGCACAACCACCATGGGTTAAAAAAGGCCAAGATGGGAGTTGCCAAACAGTAAAACCGGGAAATATGTGTGTGTTTTCCGCAAGCGAAAAGTTGGGCAAAGTTGGGTCAATGACCCTGGCTGGCAAGTCCCTCGTTCCGAATTCCTTCATTCATGAGTCACCAACAACCGAGCTAGCTACATGAAGAAACACTGAGACATCAACAAAAAAGTCTTTCGACCCAATCCAGAAGACATGGTAGATTTACCCTCTGGTAAACTAACATAGCTATTGAAAATGGCCATTTATAGTGGAATTAACCATTAAAAATAGTGATTTTCCATAGCTATGTTAGTTTACCAGAGGGTATGTAGATTTAACTTTAAAGAACGACTAGACATAGATTCATGATGATCCATGAAGATCTGATTTGGAAGCACCTAAACCTCGGTGCCCTCACCAGGAAGAGTGTCGCTTTGTCGGTGATCATTGCAGCCGCTAAAGTGTCCTCATCCTACCAGTGGCTCGGAACAATGGATCGGTTTGAGATATTTGAGATAGTTAAGCATCATAGGATTGAAGACCATCGAAGACCATGAAAGTTGGCTGACTCAGAATTCATGAAAATTGGTTTGGGGGTGGATATTGAGGAGATTGTAGGTCTCAATGGATTGAGACGTACATAGGGGGTTCTGACCATTTTCCTTCAAATTTTGGCCTAGGGTCTCGGAGGTCTTTCCAAGAGGAAAGCGGCGTAAAAGCCGCGTGAAAAAAGACATCCATGATTCCAAGGGCCTCAAAGATGCAGACTAATAGATCAAGATATATCAAGATCATATACCACATTCCCCCAAAAAGAGCACCGCCACCTTCGTTTTCACCCGATGATTTTCGCAAAGTGCCAGTTCCGGGATTTCCAATCGCCAAATTGATGGGAATCATCAGCTATAATCACCATCAAATCACCAGTTCGATGATGATATCCCCGTCATTGTACCACACTCTCCCCATGATTTCATCCGACGGCTTCGGACCTTCAGGAGTTTGCCTTTCAAGAAGAGTCTCTGCTGAGAAACTTCCAAGCCACATTCCTCTGCGGAAAAAAAAGGGTGCCATTGGAGGTGGCGACTCTGTATATAAAAAAATGGTGCGTTAAGTGTACTAGACGTATCTAAACGTACTAGACCTTTGCTAAGCAGCGTTTTTGCGGTGCAATCCCATCCAGCCATGTCACATCACTATGATTCCACCAGCTGAATTGCTCAGCTGTTTGTTGCTGCATCAAGGACCTAGATAAGCAGCTATGGTCACCTACCTGTTTTTCATGACAAACCCTGTGTGTAATTCAGAAGTAGCTAGCCAACAGAAGTGGACTTGACATGATTTTAAGCCCATTTAAAATATAACTGTACTTTTACATTTGCGATTTTACATTTGATCATATGGCTTGGTGATAAAGCCCAAAATCTGCGGATCCCCAGCCCTGTAGTTTATAGTTGTTTCATCCGGGGGGTTCATCGTCTGACAACTGACTAAAACAAATGAATGATAATTAGAAATTGAAGTATGATCTCAACAAAAATCTCAATTCTCTGGCCATGTCCCCATTTCCATTGGGAAGAAAATGCTCTTCCATGACAGCAGATTCAGGTTCAAAAATCTTGAGTCTCCTGTTCATGTCGAGTATATTCACAACTATTGGATATCTTAGGTATTTCCATACCCAATCGTATAATATAATGTTGAGTATCTATTAGTATCTATTAGTATCTATTAGTATCTATTAGTATCTATTAGTATCTATTAGTATCTATTAGTATCTATTAGTATCTATTAGTATCTCCCATGGCCATAGTACTTCCAGTTCCATGACTTTTTCGATGGCCAACTCGACCCATACCATCACCATACCATCCACGACGGAAGCACCTCTTGGCATCTTTTCTTTAGCTCACCCACAGTGAGCGTCGACTCGACCCCACCCAGCTTGAAGGACCTTGAAGGGATGTGTTCAACGGGGATTCGACCATCTGCGCGAATCTTCATCATCTACTTTTTTTCGGTGTCACGGAAATTCGGTGAATTGCCATATTCTTGGTCAAATAAGTAATTGTAACCACTTGTGTTTTCTTGCGAATTCATATTATGTTCCCAGGAAACCAGAATTTTGACCACAAATTCTTTAGGGAGTAATGCGAACGTTCCCCTTCAACAAAGTCATTAAAGAGCTGAGGACGGAGATACAGGATTTACCATCATTTACCTTCCCATGGTCCAATCTCCATTTCTCGATGATTTGATCTCCCAAAAATGGGCAAGCCCCCCGCCCCTTGTTTTGCTGTGATAAATCACGTTGCTTTTGAGTGGCAGTAGTGTAACAATCCCCCCAAACAAACAAGGTTCAAAACCTGAAGGTGATGTGGTGATATCATCATCTCTACACTTCTACATCCATAGGTACCATATGAAACTCATCCAAACCTTCAAGTCTCCAATTTCATATCCTGAACTGGGGCCCCAGTTACAATTCATAAAGGGCCCAGCCAGGGCCCCTCGGGGCCCCTGGACCCAGGAACCCCCACTTGATGGCGCCGGAGCCCTTGAAACTGAGCTCCATCGGCCCGAGACGCGCGGAGACCGAGCCCCACGGCGCCTGGCTGCTGCTTTAAGCATCTTTAAGCACCTTACTGAGGTTGTAGATGGATGGGAATTACATGCCATGATTATCGAATTACACTACAACTAAAATTATCGTTACTTATTATGTGTATATATATATATATATTAATATATATATTATATATATATGTATATAATTACAGTATCTACCAAGTAAAAACAGTTTAAACGGATATCATCCAGTCCCACAGCATTTTCGTATCAAAAATTTTGGCCCAGGACGGAAAGCATCCATAGTTTGATAGCCAGAGCCAAGGTTGATCTTTGGGTCCTGAGACATGCTGGGAATCCCAACTTTTTCAGTGTCGCTGCTGCAGAATCCGAAAACCCCACGCAAGCGCCAGTTTTGGCGTGTGTCACGCCGAAATTCTATCAGCACATCTACCTGTCGCAAGTAGCATGGTTGATTAATGGGTAGATGATAGATGTGTACAGAGTCTACTATATCGTGTATGTAATCAGATTCATGTTCCCAACCAAGTTTGGCAAACTTCTTGCCGGATGACAGGCACATCGGAGAATGGCCCCTTTGGTATTGGGACCTCTCGCCCCTTGGGACGGCGGATTTCGACGAAGTGCCGAACAGGCCATATACGGTCACAGTCATCCCAATAGTTTCAAATTGGGAAGCAAAAAGATGGGAAAAAAACCAAGCCCCCCGGAGCGTAAATTCGACCAATGAAACTTGCGATCAACATCCATCCAGACCAAAAACATCAAAAACACTGGTCACGGGGATTCACAGAGTGGGAAAACACCAGCGAGCCTGACGAAAGCACAGAGGGGGGTTCTAGGAACCCAAGGTTAGAGGCCACAACCTTTGTGTGACTTTCTGTGGGATGGTGAATGAGGACTTCAATCATCAAAGAAAGCATGGCTGTTTCAATCGTTCAAACTGTACCAATTCCAACAACACTGTTTCAACCAATCGCAACTACTGCACAACTTCTGTTGGACTTCAACTCGTCCACTCACCCGCAACATCAAAAAACACTAGTCGTCATTCACCATCAGTCATTGATGGGGTCGAAACTCTGAAGCTTCCTAGATCTGAAAAAGTCAGCTACATCTGAAAAAGTGGCAGGAACATTACATTTTGCCAATTTTGACCGATGTTTGAAAACACCAACTCGCATCACAAGGGCGGCACCGGACTGGCAATCACTTCGTTCAGCATTGCATCCACATCTTCGTACTCAGCCCCACTGCTGATGCTGGATGTGGACGGCATGGCCTGCATGGCCCTACAGGCTCGGCGCAAGAGGGCGACGGGCGGCCGGCGGGCGCCGCGAGCGCGCGGGCCCAGGGGGTCCGCGCGCGCGCGGGCACTGCGGGCGCCGCGGGCGCCGCAGGCGCGGCCTTTTCGGGGATGGTGCCGACGACGAGGGGCACGGCCTTGGCGGCTGCGAAGCGGCTCCGGCGCAGTGCGGTGCAGTGGACGTCCTGCAACTTGCTCTTCACAGCACCTCCAACGGCAAAATTGGTGAAGATTTTTAGTAGAAGTTGTTTGGATACAGCAAATAAAATCGTAGATTGATTGTTGGATTGTGGATGACTAATTGTTCGTTGGAGTCACATTTCCACTTTTACGATCAACCGGACACAACATGCTAAGTCACGTTCAGGTTAGTGGTCCTCAAGGGGTCATGAGCGAAGCCTCAAGCAAAGAGGATAGCCCATTCTCCAGCAAATTTAAACGCACTCTGAGAACTCAAAATCAGCAGTTGCATTGATGAGCTTATTTTTGATGAGAAGTATCAGAGAATAGAAGGTAAAACCGACAATTCTTTGCAAGCGTCAGATTCACAGTATTCACCTGTCGATATCCCTAAGAAAGGAACATTAATGTCAAAGGGAATAAAAATTGTTGGTACCCAGGTCTAGTAGATCCGGAGAGCTGCCCAGAGCACAGCCATCTTGGCAGATTTTCCATGTCAGCCATGTCAAACGTAGTTCCGAGGCACGGCTATCGCCTCCCACGGCGCAGTCGCCCCAGGACACCACGGTGCCGTCGCTTTTGATGACGGCGAAGGCGCTATTGGAGCCACAGATCTCGCTGACGTCCAGCAGCTCCTCTTTGACCCCGCGGCAGTCACCTGGCGGTCAAATCAGGGGTGCTCACTGCTGAGTTTAGAAGCCTATGTTTCAGAGCATCTTTCATGGATTTTGATGGTTCAATGTATCAAGATTATGTATATATATATATATATATGTATACATATACGTATACGTAATTGTACAATTATTCTTTATATTAATCTATATCGACTCAACTCATAACTTACTTGTGATATGAGTTCATTCTACTGGTGTAGGGCCCTAAAATTGGGACACTTACAAGGTGCTACAACACCATTGCCGCTGCTAGGGGCAGCTTGTGGTAGGATATGTTTGTCCCAGAATGCTGGTCTCCATTTGTAAAGGCAGACCATCAGACCGTCCATACCAGGACAGAGTGGAGGTCGCCATCTTCCAAGTTGGGATTCACAGGAATCAACTCACTTGAATTTTTTTCGTTCCGAAATTGCACCACCCATAACAATCATCTCCATCATCTCCCATCTCCAAAGCATAATTCGACCGCATCTCCCACCCCACCCATAACCTCTAAACCCTGGTTCAGTATTGCATCTATGCACTTCAAGGTTCCATTCAAGGTATTGCATCTATCCATTTCTGCTTCTATGGGATTTCGCACCATGATTAAACCATATGAAAAACTCCAAAAAAACCCTTCCATAATCTTCATCCCAGGGCCTCCATAATCTTCATCTCCCCAGGTCACCACGGTGCCATCTGCCAGCAATGCCCCAAAGGCGCCGTCCGTGGACGAAAGCGTGTGCACGTCCACCAGCTGCCGCTGCACGGCCAGCGAGTTGCCGCCCCGCCCGAAGCCGTGGCGGCCGCCCCAGGTGACCACTGTACCGTCCCGCAACAGGGCTGCGAAGGCGGAATCCTTGTAGGGCAAAGATGGAGATTTATATACAGTAATTAACAATAACAAAAAGTTGGGATTCAATTTTAAAATTCAAGAGTTGACTGATACGAATTGAAATGATAAAGTATAAATGAAGATTTCATCAAATGAAACTAGTTGTATACGGCGGGATGGGACCAAAAGCCACCATTTTATGACATATTTTATGGGGAGATGTTGGGTACAATGGTTGCAGACCCAAGTCGTTCAATGCACTGGGGGATCTGCCGCCCTAAATGATCCATGGTCCCGAAGTTGATTAAATGATGAATATACAAAACTGAACAAGAACGGTGCTAACTCATACTATATACGTATTTTATATGTGTAAATATACATATATATATATACATACGGAAAGAGAAAGAGATATACATGAATAGATGCAAATACATACACCATATATTGGTATATATTTCAAATATATATATATATACATATTTATATTGTATTTATATTGTATTTATATATATATGTCGTATCTATATATATATGATATATGATATGTATACATATATTAGTGATGCTTATTACAAGTATATATATATAATTATGTATATTTCAAGACAATGTACATTGTTAATCAAAGGAAGTTTAGTCAGAAGACTTCCGAATTACGGACGCTGGTCATGGTTAGCATTCAAACTTACACCATCGTGTCAACCACATCATCATGTCAACCACCCATCATCAAGTAATTGGGACATGTAAGAGTCCAGGAACGCGTGAATTCACGGGTAAAAGCAATCTCGGGTGCGAAACGCTGTGTTTTTATGTGGGCCGCCGAAGCGGGGTCTCTGTTTCCGCGTTTGCGAGCCTCGATCTGGATAAGTTGTCGACAAAAAGTGCACGAGCCCGTAGCGAGTGCTCGATTTCACAACAAGAAACACAAAAAGCTGAGGGCCTCAGAGCACTTTTGAAAGATGAGGCCGGAGAAATGCGCACGAGACTACAGCAGGAGCTGGATTTCACCCCAAAAAAACGCAAAAACTGCGGGGATCCGAACACTTTTGGAGGACGAGGTCGAAAAACTGCATTGATTCATTGGTTCATAGATTCATTGGGTCGCTGTTTACTGGATTCCATTGCTTCAGGTTCACTGATTCATTGATTCACTGATAATCTGAATTTCATAGATTGGTTGATTCATCGCTTCATTGATTCACTGATTCCTTGATTCATCGATTCATTGAGTCATCGCTTCATTGATTCATTGGTTAGTTGATTTTCTGATTCATGGATTCGCTGGTTCATTGCTTCATTGATTGATTGCTTCAGTGATTCATTGCTTCAGTGGTTCATTGATTCATTGCTTCATTGGTTAGCTGATTCGTTGGTTCATCGATTCATTGCTTCATTGCCTCATTGACTCACACATTCATTAACTCATGGGTTCAGTGGTTTATGGACTACCTGATTCATTGGTTTATTGCTTCATTGGCTCGCTAACTCATTGGGCCATTGCTTCATTGATTCACTGATTCATTGGTTCATGCCTCACTGATTCTTTGGTTCATCGGTTCCTTGGTTCATTGGTTCATTCAGGCAATTGTGCATGGATTCTTTCATATCATTTCACTGGCATCTCAGTCATCACTTGCTCGTTCGTTGATGCAGCTCGCTTCAACATGTCATTGCTTCTGCAACTCAAAAACTTTCCTATAAGCCCCGTCCGTCACTGGCCTGGCACTACCTGGTAAACTCTACTTCTCCATATAGATTCTTTGTGTGAACATGTTGAACTTGAGGCCCAGGGGTAAGGGACGAAAGCTAGCTCGCCAGGGAGCTTGGCATGAAAACACAAAGGGCGCAGCTTTTTCGTCAACGTGGGCGAGCAGGAAATTTACATGTCCAAACTGCCATTGCAACACCATCTCACAGGAGCCTCACAAACGGTGACCACCACTAGGATGAGAACGTATGATTACTATGTGCTGTTGCACGAAGAGGATGAGGAAATTCAGCGTAGCCAACATGATGACCAGTAATTGGGACCTTTGGAAGCGCGGGAAGAAGTAACGCAGTGCAAAACCGAAGTTGAGGATGAGAGGTAGGTGTGCGTGCGCAACATGAAAATGAAGCTAGGCCAAGATGAAGGCTACCCATGAATGAACATGCCAATCATGAGCGCCGCTGCATCAATGAATTGAAGAGAAATGAGGCATGCCCGCAGAGGATGCCGATGTTGCTGACGGTGTCCCCGTGGGGGGTTGAGCCCACGGCCAAACTGCTTGTGAACCAGCCAGCGGGGAGAGGGGGCAGTTAACTCAGAAGTTTCTCGCGATTGGGGATTCCAGCCCCTCAATACCTTGCTAAAGCAAGAGAAACTTCAGCTAGCAGAAGCTAGCTGTTGTGCTATATTATGTATTTTGCACAACACGACCTAGCTCTGACAGTGAGCCAACCCCGACCGTGACCAGCGCCGACCAGCTCTCCACGCCATGATTCTGTGGCTTGGATCTCCAGGACGTTCTGCAGTTTGTCCTTCACAACGCCACAGTCGCCCCCCGAATCCGAGGAGCCCCAGGTCACCACCTGCAGCGGTCAAAACGTCGCGTTTGAAGTAGCTCAAGGGTCGGAAGGGGTCGGAGTTAGAACTCGATCTGGAGATGTTTGGGTGATTTCTTTGAGATGCTGAGTGAGGTTTTTGAGTGATGTTTAAGGATGTTTGGTGATTCTTGGAGATTCTTGGAGATTTTGGGGATAAACTGGTCCACCTCAGGAATTTTAGTCTGGGATCCAGAGATCCAGATTTTGGAAGCTGCGGTTGTAGGGTCCCATTGCAACGGGGCCAAACATGAACCAGTGCCAACGTGTCCTGAAACAGCCACGTTTCCAGGTATTCCCAGCATTGAATGAAGTACTCATTTAAAAAAATCGAAAAGTGATTTACCACTAGTTTATCAAGCTTTCTACTTGTTTTTCTAGGGTACCAAAATCTCCATCGCTAGCACTTAATCCCCGCCATCCCACCTGCCCGTCGGCTCGTATGGCAGCAAAGGCATAACTAGAACCATGGATTTTGTGGACATCGTAAAGCTCTTCCTTCACTTCCTCGAGGTTCCCCTCGGGGAAATAACAGTGTTGCTGGGGCATCCGAGGCATCCCCAGGAAAGCAGTGATACATTGCTTGATGATCAACCAATGGTTCACTGGTGGTTTCGGCTCCCCTATGGGCCTATCCCATAGTCATACAACCCCTTGGGAATGGGAACCCAAGTATCCCAAACCTTTAAATATCAGGATGGGAGCCAAAATTTGGCGATAAATGCTTTGGAAAGGAAGGAAAATGAAACCAATGCTCAACATCTACCACAGATTATCACATATTTCAAACTTCCACAGTCTTCAACCATTCCAAAAGAAAAATGCTGCTGAGTTTTTTGTTGGCGTTTCTGTGATGTCACCACCTCCATGCTTGTCTCCCCAGGCCACCACGGTGCCATCCCTGCGAATAGCAGCGAAAGCCGAATATGTACTTTGCACTTGACAAACATCCTCCAGTTGATCCTGCCGGTGTCACAAACGTTGTGTCAGCACATGAACCTTCCGCAATTTGTGCAGTCCGCAGTCCCGAATTTTGATCTATCCCCATCTATCTGAAGAATCATGACTTTCAAAAGCTACCCCCAGCACCCACCAGGTTTTTTATCATAGTCCATATTATGCGTGTATATATATAATATTATATATATATATTAATATCTATATAATAGTAATTTCCAAAGCTTTCAGCCCCAGCAAAGAAAAAAGAGAAAGGCCACCTGCACCCCCGTCTATATCTATTCTTTGTGTTCTTCATTGTGTTCACTATTTAAAAAAAAAAAACTGCCCCACCTCCACCAACCACCTCAACCTACCTTTCACAGTAATTTCTATCCTTGTGACTCTATTTTTGTTGTTTTCGTGTGTCTACAAAAAAAAAAAAACAAGCCACGTGCCATGCTATGGTGCTTCTGAATAGGTTATACCAGACTCCGCCAGCCACAAAAAAAACAATTAGTTTTTTCTGCATGCTTAACTTTAGACTCAGCAATAAAAACACCCGCCAGTTGTCACACCACCAATCAGTGGCTACTCGACATTTTCAATAGCTTCAAAGCGCACCCCAACCCACCAGATAAACAACCTAAAGAAAAAAAACGACCACCCAGAAACAATCTACTCTGTTTAACAACATCATCCCATCATCAGAATCCTCACCCCCAAAAGAAATCAGCCCCAACCCCCCAAAACAACCAAACATGAGTCTGAAAATGGGGTGTATCATATGGCCATTGAATAGGGAAAATGATCCACGGGATTTTAAGGGGGGATACCGGTCCCCGTCCAGTCCTCGACCTCACTGCAGTCTCCACCACAATCCTCCGAGCCCCACGAGCAAACCCGGCCCTCCGCGGTCCGCGCCGCCAGCGCCTTGCCGCTGCCCGTGATCTCCACCACGTCTTTGCCGAGCTTCGGCAGCACCGTGGAAGCGTCGCCACCGAAGCGAGAGTCGCCCCAGGTCACCACACTACCATCCTTTGCGCGCTGGGAGGTGGGCTTTTAAGGGAAATATCCCCAAAAAAAAAACTCAGGTTGAAATTCAATCCGAGGATTCCCCAAAAAAGATAGAAAAAAGGATAAAATGAAAAGCCCTTTTCGATGTGGAAGTCCCTTTGAGCAAGTTTTAATGCGTCTTGGAGCTGCTAATTTTGTGGGGAATAAAGAGGGAACCTCTACAACAACGTTTCAGATGGCTATGGGTGCACATCATGTAGCATTAGCAAAGCAAAAAATAAACGTCTTTGGAGGGCATCCATAGCCCATTTCAGGTGAAATTCGGAATGGTCAAAACTTGGATTCACCACAGTCGTTTTCCAAATTGGTTCCCAGGTTCTTGTCGGATAGCAGCAAAGGCGAAAGCCGAAGACCTTGGTTCAATGCACATGTTGATTCCCAATATGCGGGTACTACCCCAAACCATTGGGTTGTTTCCATCGAATATGATCAACAACTTGGATGACTTGGCAGGAAATCCATTTCCACCCTGAAAATTATCCCATGCTTTTCGTCATCGGTCTTTCCCAAAATCCCACGGTTGATCATCATTTTCTCACGTAAATGGTGGTTTCCTAAGATAGGAGTATCCCCAGTTGTCATCCATTTTAGTAGGATTTTCCATGAACTAAACCATCCAGCGAGCTTGGGGCCATTGGGGTACCCCCATTTTAGGAAACCTCCAAATGGGATATCCATGATATCCACCATTCTTCAAGGGACGCTAAGTCGCGGCATTTCTCCAATTGATCCTTGACTCTTCGACTGTCAGCGCCACAGGAGGTGTCGCCCCAAGTCACGACCTGAGAAAAATGGAGCTACAAAAATATACGATGCCTCCTAGCTACAAATTATACTGGAAACTGCTATACTAAGGAACTGCGTTACTAATCTATCGCAGCAAAATTCCGCTGAGCTGGACCTTGATGATTGAGATACATCGAAGATCATTTTGGCTAGTCATGGGGATCCTTTTGTTTCTCGTAGCCATTTGTGACTCCAGCTTGCTTTCTATCTAGAACCGGAAATCTCCCACCACTTCAACATGTTGCATTTTGGACGCCGCATTGCTGGCGTTGGAAAAGGCGAGCCACTGGTGCCACATGCCCCGGGCTGTGAGAAGGCTCGACTCCCAAGATCTACGATGATTTACATGTGGTGCGCCAGTCAGCTGCCTGTGTGTGTGTCCATGTGTGTATGTGTGCATATGTGTGTTTACATGAAAGAAGCTCAGTAGCGGATGAACAATATGATATTAGGATTTTCCATGAACTAAACCATCCATTTTGGGGATGGTTTTGTTAGACCTTCAACCAAAGTCAGGACCTGCCTGCAGCTTAAGCTGGAAGGCTTCAGACCAGGGTTTTAAACCCGGGACCCCTTCCCCCTTCCCGGCCCAGCTACGTGGATTTGCATCCCAGTTGCTAAATCCATCTTTACCCCACCATATGGAATATCCCCATGTTGGCTTATATGAATGGCTGTATCTGCAAATGGGCCCCTCAAATCTTGACATTGTTCCGTGAAATCTGTTTTTCTGCGGCATTTTTGAAGCTCTACAAGTCGATAGAAACACCCCTTGGTCGCCAGCGACTTGCCCCGGTGATCCCGCCTTGCCACTGCCCAGCAGCGCAGCAAAGGCTCCGCTGCTGCAGCGGATCTTCTGCACATCGCGTAGCTCCTCCCAGCGCACGTCGCTGTACCTCGACACTGGCAGTGACCGGTTCCCACAGAGGAAGACTATGGGATAATGGGTTTACAACCAACAACAACCAACAAAATGATGAATTAGTGGGATATGATGGGATATAGCTGGATAATCATCGGGATGAGGATGATGACGATGATGGCGATGATGGCGATGATGACGATGATGGCGATGATGACAATGATGACGGTGATGAAGATGATGACGATGTGATGAAGTGAAATTGAAGAATTGGAAAGAGTCAAATGGTCACAAAGCCAGGGGACTTCAACGAAAACTGGAATAGGACAACATTTGAACAAACAACAAGGTATGAACTTGTTTGAAATCACAAAAAATCCGGGAGGCAGAACACACCGTCCGACACAACCACGCCTACGGGGGGAAAGAATGATTGTAACCAAACCTTGACCTTGACAAATTCATGCTTCCACTGAAAATCAATGACTGGAACCCGAGACTTGTATTATATTAGCGTCAATCCGAAACCTGTCTTCCAGGGCTCCATTTTGGAAATTATCCATACCAGTCTTCAAGGATGGAAACCATCCCGGACCCAACAAAGTTGGCTCAGATGCAATTATATATATATATCAAATTATATCTGTACAAATATTTCACAACACTAAAATAAACAATGTTTGTGATGGTCCTGTCGTCAACCATCATTTTTGGGGTTTGGTTGTTGTGAAGTCGTTTTATACTTTGACATAAATCATACAATTCTCAAGTGATCCCTGAAGATAGAAAATAGAATTTCCATAACTTACTACAGAATAATATCATACCTTCGCTGTGACCCAATGCACTATCAAGTTTGATTCAAATCATCATATTTTCGCTCTGAGATCCCAGTGGAGATGTCAAATGATTTGTCCAGTTAGCAAAAAAAAACACCAGCATAGATGGGGGGAAATAAGTAATTTTTTGTTCATTAGGGGGATAACATGTGTATGTGTATGTATAAATATAATATATTATATATATATACACACATACATACATATATTTTCTGCGGGGCGCCAAGAGATTTCACAAAGGGGTTTGTCTGAATGTTAAGTACCCCATTCCATCCATTGGTCAATCATATTGTTCCCAAATCATCAGATCACCCTGCGAACAAAATGGTAAATTCCCTGCGAATTGTTTTACCATATTCAATCCCATATTTTGATGGTTGAACTGGTTGAACCCCAGTTAAAATCCCAGATGTTCATGATAAAATCCCCGATTTTGGCGAAACATGCTAAACATATGTTAAACTCACGATTGTCATGATGAAATCCCGAAAAAAAATCATGGATTCCTAGGTTTTGACCATCAAATCTCAGGGGTTCCGGTGATAAATCCAGTGGTGATTCACCGGTTGAAAAATTTTCCCATCATCCACCCATAGAAATAGTTGATTTACCTATTAAAAATGGTGATTTACCGTTTTTTTAAAGATGGTGATTTACCCTCTGGTAAACTACTGTAACAGTCTGCGAACTGGAAAATCACCATCTTTAAAAACGGTAAATATGGTAAATTAACTATTTCTATGGGCCATTTTCAGTAGCGAAATGTTAAAATTACCAGAGGGCAATTCCGTGAATTCCAAGACGCTGGCCACAGGCCACCTTGTTGCCCCAGCAGACCACCGTGCCATCGGCCCGCAGCAGGGTGAAGGCTTGGCACAGCCGACCGCCGATGAGCTTGGCCATCCTGCGGCAAGGATGGACAATAAAAATCATCCTGTATTTGTCTATATAACAAATAATGATATGATATGATATGATGTTACGTTCTATTTGGGGTCTTGATATTTAAGTTTCGCATATTGTCAAGAACAAGGGTGAAACAAATGCCAAAACTGGGGGATTGAAACCCTCAAACCCTTGTGCTACATGCAGCCATCAACTCTCCTATGCCGCACCTCCCGTTTTCTTGAATATAGACAGAATACCTTACCTCAGGATGTTAAAAATTACACCGGCATAGACCCCAGATAGAAAAGGTTTCAGAAACGCCTTTTTTTGCCGTGCGAATTGGTTGCGACAACAGCGGAACTGCTGGTTCCCAAACGTTGGAACCAATGCGTCCCAATCTTAGAACCACGGGTTCCCCGTTCAAGAAACTGCTAGTTCCCCAATGCTTCCCAATCTTAGAAACACTGATTCCCCGTTCAAGAAACTGCTAGTTCCCAAACGTTCAAGCCAATGCTTCCCAATCTTGGAACCACGGGTTCCCAGTTCTAGGAACTAGCAACTAGCAGTTCCCAAACGTTCGAACGAATGCTTTCCAATCTTTCCCAGTTCGAAGAGCTGGTTCCCAAACGTTCGAACCAATGCTTCCCAATCTTGGAACCACGGGTTCCCAGTTCTAGGAACTAGCAACTAGCAGTTCCCAAACGTTCGAACGAATGCTTTCCAATCTTTCCCAGTTCGAAGAGCTGGTTCCCAAACGTTCGAACCAATGCTTCCCAATCTTGGAACCACGGGTTCCCAGTTCTAGGAACTAGCAACTAGCAGTTCCCAAACGTTCGAACGAATGCTTTCCAATCTTTCCCAGTTCGAAGAGCTGGTTCCCAAACTTTCAAGCCAATGCTTCCCAATCTTGGAACCACGGGTTCCCAGTTCTAGGAACTAGCAACTAGCAGTTCCCAAACGTTCGAACGAATGCTTTCCAATCTTTCCCAGTTCGAAGAGCTGGTTCCCAAACGTTCGAACCAATGCTTCCCAATCTTGGAACCACGGGTTCCCAGTTCTAGGAACTAGCAACTAGCAGTTCCCAAACGTTCGAACGAATGTTTTCCAATCTTGGGAGCACATGTTCCAGGTTCGAGGAACTGGTCGCTCCCAAACGTTGGAACCAATGCTTCCCGCCAGAACTGATTTCATCCCTATTGCATAATCCTTTGCAATGCAGTGGCTTCGCACTGTGGACAGCAGCCTGCACAGCACCTTTGCCAAACCTCGCCACCGCACTCTGGGCAGCAGCCTACACACCAGCCCCTTTCCCAGAGTTCGCCACCGCACTGTCCAGCACTGCACAGCACTCTGCACGCAGCAACCCTGCACGGTACTCTGGCCAGAAGCCTGCACAGCACTCTGCACAGCACCTTTGCCAGACATCGCCACCGCTCTGGACAGCAGCCTGCACAGCACAGCACCATGCCAGACTTCGTCCCCCCTGCAGCACCTTTGAAAATTTCTGTGAACAGCTCCCTCGCGCAGCCAGCAGGCCTGCTGCGTAGCCTTTGCCAGACCTCGCCAGCCTGCAGCACGCTGCACAGCACGTTTCCCAGACTTTGCCACCGCTGCGAACAGCAGCCAGCCACAACCTGTACAACACCTTGGACAGCACAGCACCTCTGCCAGACTTCGCCACCGCACTGTAAGCAGCAGCCTCACAGCAGGCCTGCACAGCACCCTGCACAGCACCTTTGCCAGACCTCGCCACCGCAGTCTGAACACCAGCCTGCACACCACCATGCGCAGGACCACAGCACAGCACCTTTGCCAGACTTTGCCACCGCACTCACAGCAACCTGCACAGCACCCTGCACAGCACCTTTGCCAGACTTCGCCACAAAGTCCGCCACCGAAGACCTCACCTTTGAGAAGTAAGAACCCCTATAGCTTCCAGCTATCTGGGGAATAAAAACATATTGGTATTGACCATCCCTCTGGAGCAATCCTCTCGAAAGTCAAACAGATGATTTTCGAAGGAATTGTTGCGAAGAAAATTGGCTGTCATCATTCAAGCACTCTATCTATTTGATGATATCCCCCTTGCTGTTTTAGCCGTTTTAGTGCATTAAAAAGATCCTTTTCAATGGCCAACTTGATTTACATACTCTGAAAATACGCTGAAGTGCTAGCTCGGTAAGAAGTATCCACCCCGTAAACTGTTTGCCCAGCTTTACCCTGTTTTCTTGCTTCAAATCCCAACGGGTCAATTCTTTAAGATTCGCTTCAGGATCCCAACCAATAAACCATGATAAATGTGTACATACTATGTGCTAGTAGAGAATATATATATATATTGTATTATTATATATATATATATATAGAGATATCCCAATTATAGCTGGTTCATCCACCAATTGGAGATCCACAAAAAAGAAAATCTACCATAAAATAGACCATTAATCCCCCATGTTACATATATATATATATATTTATACAGTATAATATATAGTATAATATATAGTCATCCCCAAATAGACTCATAGATAAAACAGTCAAACCCTACATTTTAATAGCCCCTTAAATTACTCTTCTATCTGCTTGGGGATGGCTATGCGACATGCCCAATCCCCACATCGACTCCGCCTTACAGTGGCGCTGATCGTCTCCCCATCGCGTAAACCAGCGTCCAGCAGGGAGCAATGACCGTTCAGCAGGGTGCCTGGCACTGCCGGGTCGTCTAGAAGGATCCCATCAAGGGTGGTTTAATTATCAAAGATCACTCTTTTACCATCAAAATATGTGGTTTTACCATCAACACTAATGGGTTTTACCATCAAAAATAGTGGTTTAGACCATAAAAACTTGGGGAGAATTGGTTCGTAAATGGAACGATATTTAGGAAAATCCACGGATGAAATCATGGCGTTTCAACCCAGTCCCTTCAACCAAGTCAGCAGGGTGCTGGTGAATAAACCAAGTGTTCCAACCTCACCTTAGATGGGTGGCTGTACGGGGTAACTTGGGACTACAGATGGAAATAAATAATATATATATATATATTATATATATATACATATATATATATACATACACACACATGGGTACATACATTTAATATCTACAATGTATATATATATACATATATATAATATTATATATATATACATATATATATATACAAATATAATCATATGTAGAGAAAGAGAGCCCGAAATTACTCCTATGAAAAAGGAATGGAATCCATGCTGACACCCAAAAGAAAGAGAGAGAGAGAGAGATAGCCGGCAGAATTGTTGACCACGCACATCCAAATTCACCAAGAACGGACCATCCAATGTCCAAAGCTGGATTTCTTCCAAACTCATTTTGCCCAGCGGACTGGCTTTACCCCCTGTGAAGCTGGCTATTTCACTTTCGCCCAAGAGTCCCAAGAGTTTCATTCTAGCCGCCCATCCCATGCCCACCTCTCGAGGAGACCAACTCATGAATCCCAAACCTTGGCGGTTTCTGCCGCTGACAGTGACGGTCGACAGGTCCGAATGTTTGATTCAAAGTTGAGAAATGATCCTTTTGGAGCTGGAACTGCTTGAACCAACAAAAAAACGCGTAGAAACTGTACAGCACCCCAACCACTTTGCCGTCAGAAATTGTTGTTTTTGACCATGTTCACCATAACCAATGATGCCAAGGTTAGTTCACCAAAACATCACCCAGCCATTACTCACCCAGCCACTCTCGTTGCGCGGTCACTTTCAACTCGTGCACCGTGCTCTCTGGCACCACCTCCAGCAGTGCTTCCTCTCCGCTGAGCAGCGTCAGGCGCAGCCGCATGGCCCATGGTGTGGCGCCGCAGGGACGCAATGGCTAAGAACCGGGAACGTGATACTGTAGCACTGTAGGGCTAGGGTACGGAAAATGTTGAAGCCCTTTTCGTCAATGCTTTGTAAACGAAAACAAGATTTGAGTCAGAATTTGTCAAAAGAAAATCTAATTGCGAACGGTAATCACTCACCGCTTTGAATGCTTTCTTTGACAAGGATGGACTATGACCAAAAAATCTGACGCTGGCAGGACGATTCTTGAGATCCTTGAGGTGTGGTTTGCGGCGCCGTCGCATTCAAACTTCGGGTGCAGGATACAGAAGGCGCAGTGGAAGGGGCTTCGCAGTTGTCCTTCATGGTTTTGCCCCTAAAGAACACCAATCAACAGCATACCGTGTTCAAGCATCATTAAAAAAAAAAAAAACAAAAGAAATCACCCATCAAACCAACAATGGGAAACATGGTAGGGTCTAACACCCATCCATCATTTTACGCCTAAACAGAAGGAAATTGTGGATGTTCATCCCCCCAAAACTAGGTTTTGACCCAGCCCCAAATCCGGTTTTTGCTAAGGAAATCACTAATTTCCCAACTCTTGAGCCTCTTGGGTGCTGGAAATCCCCCTTTTCTGGTGTCCTGGCCAAGCCCCGACTCCACCCCCACCTCTGAGTCCAACAATCGTTCCCTGGGCTGCGATGGATGCCCTAACGGAGAAGGATGGTTTTGATTCAACCAGCGAAAATCAGATTGAACCAAAGCGTTAGGCAGTCAATCTGTAGTGAACCTGTGGCCCACAGATCAGGTGTGTTGTGTATAATTCCAACAACTCCCCGACTTGCAGATTGGATAGCGATGGCAATCTGTCATTTCTGAATGACTAAATCCGAACCAAAAAAGGTTTCTTTAAAGGGGGTGTGGCAAGAAAAAAACAAAACATTGGTCCTTTTCGGTGGGCAAACATGGGAAACCAATGGTTTTGGGGTCCCCCAAGTCCTTAATCCTCGCAGAATGGAATCCACATCTTCCCTCGGCGCCTCCCCCGACACGCCCCGAATTGCCACGCTCCAAAGGCCCGAACCAAAAACAGCGCAGCGGGGATAAAGCAGCAACTGGACAGAGCAACCAATACTGTCCTGATGATCTGTTGATTTTCGAGTGGCTATGTTTTAAGGAGACCAGAAGTGTTTGCGCCTACCTTTTGAGAATTTGCTGGGTGAAACATGGAAAAACATATTGAAAAGTGTCTCAATTACTTCTTGTGGTGCTAATTCCAAAGACACTGAGTATGGCACCTGGTCAGTTTCTCAAGCTGCTACACAGTGGGGTCCCACTAAATATGTACTGAGATAAACTGGTGATCATGTAGTCTCCAGTTATATGTTGCATTTTTGTTGGCATCGCCAAAGCTGCATTGATTCAACCCCATGTGCTTCGCAGTAGGTGGTTCGTTGTCATGGTCTAGTCTCCAGTGATATCCCACTAAACATGTAATTGATAATTTGTGACAATTTTTTGGCTCATAACCCCCCGTTATATGTTGCATTTTTGTTGGCATCGCCAAAGCTGAGCATCTATTCAATTCAATTTGCCTCGCAATTGGTGGTTCGTTGTCATAGTCTAGTGTCCAGAGATATCCCACTGAGTATGTGCATGGAAAATTGGTGACAATTGTTCGGTTCATAGTCTCCATTTGTAAAAAAATGTGTGTTATTTTTGTTGGCGTCGCCAAAGCTGCACCTATTCAATTCAATTTGTTTCGCTGTTGGTTGCTTGTTGTCACGTCAAGTTGTTCAAAAATTGCTCAAACATTGGTCAAAAGTTGGTCAAGAGTTGGTCAGGCTGGTCAAACATTGGTCAAAAGTTGGTCAAAAGTTGGTCAAAAGTTGGTCAAGTTGGTCAAAAGTTGCTCAAATTTTGACCAATTTTGTCAAGTTGGTCAAAAGTTAGTCAAAAATTCACCAACTTGGTCAAGTTGGTTTTAAAAAAAATGTCAAGTTGGTCAAAAATTGGTCAAGTTGGTCAAAAATTAGTCAAGTTGGTCAAAAGTTGGTAACATTTGTCAAAAATTTACCAATTTGTCAAGCTGGTCAAGAATTGGTCAAGTTGGTGAAAAGTTGGTCAGAAATTGACCAACTTGACCAAGTTCGTCAAAAATTGGTCAAGTTGGTCAAAAATTGGCCAAGTTGGTCAAGTTGGTCAAAAGTTGGTCAAGTTGGTCAAAAGTTGGTCAAGTTGGTCAAAAATTGACCAACTTCGTCAAAAGTTGGTTGGTCGGAAATTCCATCTGACCAACTCAACCAATTCAAGGACACAAGAGATGTTTGCAGCCAAATTTAGACCATTACAAGCGTTTTTCTTGGTTTTTTTTTGAAATTTGACCAGCAAAACTATTGAGTGGTCTAAATTTGGCTGCAAACACTTCTTGTGCCCTTGAGTTGGTTGAGTTGGTCAAATTGGTTACGGGTTGGTCAAGTCGGTCAAAAGTTGGTCAAGTTGGTCAAAAATTGACCAACTTGGTCAAGCTGGTCAAAAATTGGTCGAGTTGGTCAAAAGTTGATCAAAAATTGAACAATTTGGTTAAATTGATCAAAAATCGGTCAAATTGTCAACTTGGTCAAAAGTTGGTCGAGTTGGACAAAAATGGGTCAAGTTCGTCAAAAATCGGTCAAGTTGGTCAAACATTGGTCAAGTTGGGCAAGTTGGTCTGAAACTGACAAAGTTGGTCAAGTTGGTGAAAAATTGGTCAGGAATTGGTCAAGTTGGTCAAAAGTTGGTCAAAAATTGACTAACTTGGTCAAGTTGGTACAAAAAAATAGCCAAATGGGTCAAAAATTGGTCAAGTTGGTCAAAAGTTGATCAAGTTGGTCAATTGGTCAAAAATTGACCAACTTGGTCAAGTTAGTCAAAAGTTTTGTCAAAAATTGATTAAATTGGTCAAAAGTTGGTCAAAAGTTGGTCGGAAGTTGGTCGGAAGTTAGTCAAGTTGGTCAAATGTCGGTCAGGTTTGTCAACGGCGGGTGATGAAAGTGTGAAGTGGGAGAATTGTTTGAAGAACCCATGACACCTCAAGTACCCCCGGTACAAGTGTCCAGCGCTGGGGAAGACACCATATTGTTTTTGATCACCACAAGATGGTCAGGTAATTTCAATTGAACATCACATGTGTGAACTTAAACTCGGATACTTGTAGTGAACCGTTCAATAACTTTGCTGCCTTCCTCCCATGGCAAAACTGAAGGCAACTTAGAACAACTCTCATATGAAAGAGACTCATGCTTTGAGGCATGCAGTGGGCTCAAATGGCAACATGTACCAAAACAACCCTCATATGGAAATAAAGGCTTCAGAAGTGCTTGTGCCCCACACCCCTCTGCCGTCAGTTGACAAAAAAAACATTCCAACAGGGCAATGCTACTTCTTGGAGTGCTGTTTTTTTTGTTCACCTTAAAACGATGGAGCTTGAAAATTAACATGATGATCTGGGGCCAATTTTTGTAGCCGTTTGAATAGGGAAAATGATGCCAAATACACCATGGGTTGGTTTCTTGGGTTCAACTGGTCAATTGCCTAGACCCGAAAATCGCCACCTTGAGATCTTAGAGTTGATAATTCTCCGAGGGTTGATCTGTTGATCTGGGATGAGATGGGACAAGATAGGATGAGTGTCACTGATAAGCTAAGTGTAACAAAACTTAAACACAAAACTAAACTATATAATAGTTTCAAAAACATGCAGACAAAAGAAGAAAAACGCATCATTCGTGGCAGTTGAACAGGAGGATAGCTCTGACATATCGAGGAGGGTTGCCTTCAAAGCAGCAAATTGTGGTAGGGTCAACAGCTAGAAAATCAGATTGAAGGATATGACCATGAGGTTTCCTTATTTTTTGTGATGCCTTGGTTTCATACTAGTTTTTCTCACATGGTGCACCTGCCCCACCATCATCAGCCTTGCGGATGGCGAACCAATGGTCGCGGCTTTGACCTTCAACAAAGGCAAATGCTTTGCCCTGCACATGGGGACGCTGCACCCCATGTGCAGTTCCTGGAGGGTACCTTTATTTCCGGGCGAAATAACCGAAATAGCCCATGCGAGGTCTCATATGCCAGGGCTGCAGAAGGGCTTTGAAAACTACAGTGATCCTTTGGTGCTAAACCCAATCATTGCACTGTGACACCTCAGTTCTGTTGCCTTGCCTCCCAACCAGTCACCAATGGGATAATCCGAAATTGCATCTACAGATCTGATTTCCATGTATATATATATATATTACATATGTACGTACGGACGCACGCACACATGCATGCATGGATGTATGCATGGATGGACGGATTGCATGTATGCATGGATGGATGCATGGATGTATGTATGCATGTATGTAGGTATGCGTACAGCCCATCATTTGCCTCTGTCCTTGTGGCGTCGTCGGTCAGTGAGTTCGTTCAAACTCAGCCAGGCAAATGAATTACATATGATATTCCTATCCAAACCTCCCATTATCTCAAATTAATTACGCTAGAAGAATCTCCGTTTACAAATTTCGATGTGTTCGAGGAGACAAACAAGGATGTTCCAGCCATTTTGTCCGAGACACACAGGAATGCCTCGGTGGCCTCCGAAGGGTCCTTGCAGGGAAACCCAGCATGGAATGTGCCTAGGAAGCCATGATTCGACACAATTTCCATAGGAACATTCATGAAGATCAACAAATAGTATATGTATATTATATATATATATTATCTTGATTATAGACAATTTAATACAATACAAAACAATACAATATAATATAATATGATATAATATAATATAACATCATTTAATATAGTAAAATATATTATAATATAATACAATATAATACAATATACTATAATATATTATAATACAATATATCACAGTATAATATAATACAATATATCACAGTATAATATAACATATTGTAATATAATATTATACTATATTACAAAAAAAATATTATTTAATAAAACATATAATGTAACGTAATTAAATTA